GTTAAAAGCGCAACTTTCAAAATATGTAATCAAGACAATTTATCTTGTCATATTAATAAAATATTCAAGCTTATATGAAATTAAATGTCTCAGATAGATAGTGAAAATATTATTCATGAAAGTAATGTTTCGTGTCTTGATCTGAAATGTGATATTACATACAAAAGTAGTTGTATGCATCAGACCAATAAATTATGATCAATTTTTCTCTTAATTGATTTATGGTCAGGGACCAAATATTTTTCATCTGATTATTTTGATATGTAGTATATAATCAATGAATATACAATGATGCACAAAGTTAGATTCTCCAAAAGATTGAGATATATGTTAGTTTACCTAACATAAGGGGGAGATTAGAAGTAACTCAAGAGTTGTAATACTCCCATTGAATGTCTTTTAAGGATAGAGTCAATGACATGCATGAAGCATGATAGAGTATTGAATCTAGATAAAATAATCCTTGAAAAAGGGGGGGAGGGATCAAAGAATCAAAATGATCATAATAAGGAGTCAATGTGCTTTTGAAGATTTTACGACATAACACTTCATGAAACCTCATGCGAGGGGTGCGTATCTGAAAATAATGAAGTGATGAAATCTCAATAAGTTATGTCATATTGTGAACCAATACAAAGTGATAGTTTGTCGACAATATCTTTGATACAATATAGCACAATATTATAAAAAAATATGAGTATATGAATTCTACGTCTACTAAAGCATGTTGCTGTAGAAATAATTATCAAGTGAAAAGTGAAATAATGCATCTTTGTACGCATAAAGCTTATTTGACTTGAAACCTAGGCACAAGAATATGTCATACATCTAATATTGAAATTGTCACTTGACAAAATTGATAAGAAAATATCCAATAGGTTTAATATCTAAAGCATGTATATGTTTTTGAAAAACTTGTTTATTATCCTCATATATACATTAAAGAAATCAAGAATCTTTTGTATTGTTATGCAGTTGATAATTTGAATTGAAACTCTTGAAGAGTTTTCAAAAGGCAATAGATTATTTGCTTAAAGAAGTTTAAGTAAGGAACTTGCTGAAATTTTTGATCCTAAAGGAAAGATTCATAAAAGGAGATGGAATGAAGCATATTTCGTCAAAGTTTTTCTACACTCATGAGCTCCAAAGAATGGCGATATCAACATGCAACAAGTTTTTTCAAGAAACACTATAGTTGATTTATTCACAAAGTTTGTACCAACTACACTATTCAAGAAGAAGGTGCACAAGCGTTGAAAACGAAGATTCAAGTACGTGAATTGATATTCTCATTAGGGGGAATTAATATGTGATGTACTCTTTTTCCCTCAAAAGGTTTTGTCCCATTGGGTTTTCCTTGTAAGGTTTTTAATAAGATATCCATAATGTGTATTATTAGATATGTATACTCTTTTTCCTTCACTAGATTCTTTTTCCACTAGTTTTATCAAGTAAGGTTTTAACGAGACAAATAATCTACTGACATTCAAGGAGAGTGTTATAAACATAGTTGTGTATTATAGTGAATGTCTAATTATGTGAAGTCCTTTTAAGATATGGTTAGGAATCCTACTTGGGGACAAAGTTAGGTTTCCCCTATAAATAAAGAGTCCTTCATTGTAAATCAGATTTGTGAATCTTGAATATACATCAAGAGGAATAAGAAGTATTTTCTCTTCTCTCTACTTTATTCTTCTTCATAATTTATATAATTTCATAACAATATCATATTTTTTATGATCAATCTTTTTAGTTCTAAGTTACAATTTTTTCAGGTATTTTCAACATCATTAATGGAAGATAGAATAGTAGTATCAGTTGATTGTAATGGTGAATGGGTCAAGTCCAACAATCTTTATATCTAGTGTTGGGAGATTAAAGAATTGACAACGATAATTGCGATGATTGTGCATCGATATATTGCATATGATGATTTTGCGAATAAAATCATTACTTGTTGTAAGTTAATTGTGAGCTGAAAGATATTGTGATCATTTACCTGCACAGTTGTGGTGAAAAGTAGAAACGACTCCTTTTAAGATAAATAATCATTTGAGTTTAAGTACTTATTTGGAAGATGAACTTTTAAAGATCTACGTGGTTGAAAGATTACTGGAGAATCATAATTTATGTGATGACCAACAAGTGTTGAACAATGAATGTTGTTATTTTGGTTGTGGAGCATATTTGATTTTATTGTTATTCTTATTATTATTTTATTACTTGTTGTGAGGATTTTAGCAATTGTTATATAAAGTACAACAACTTTCTTGTTTGCCGTAGAAAAGTTCAGCAATTTTTCAATGAAAAGTACAATAATTTTTACGCTTGTTGTAGAAATTTAAACAATTGTTGTAAAACAATTCGTTTAATTGATGCAGAGAATTATAACAATTGCTATGAAAAGTATAATAATTTGCTTATTTGTGTAAGATTACTATCAAATTTATTTTTATTTGTAATTGGGTCAAAGATCACTATATTTATCATTATATATGAGTGTTATAACCAATAAACAATCATTTACTCATTATAAATTGATTAATTTACTCATTATAAATTGATTACATATGAAATTGTAATGGAATTGATTGTCCAGTATCTCAAATAACTATCTCAATTCTCAATATATAAGATCACTATCTAATATAAATTTTATTTTAAAATTATATTAACACTACACTATTTATCATTAAATATGAGTGTTACAAAAAAAATAATTATGTACTCATTATAAATTGATTACATGTGAAATTGTAGTGGAATTGATCGTTTGATATCTCAAATAACTATCTCATTATATAAGATCAATATCTAATATAAATTATTTTTTAAAATTAAATTAACACTGCTTTATTTATTATTAAATATGAGTGTTACAATCATTAAACAATTAATTACGCATTATAAATTGATTATATGTGAAATTGTAATGGAATTGATCATCTGGTATCTCAAATAATTACATCATTTTATAAGATCACTATGTAATATAAATTGTAAGCGTAAATTAAATGAAACTACTCAAATTTTCATTAAATATGAGTGGTATTGTCAATTGAATTAGCCAATTAATTTGCTTACTTATTAAAGAAAATTTAGTAATTTCTATATAAAGTACAACAACTTTCTTACTTTTTGTGGAAAACTTCAGCAATTGCTATGAAAACTACAATAATTTTCGTACTTGTTATAGAAATTTTGAGCAATTTTTGTAAAAAACTATAACAATTCGTTTAATTGTTGTAGAGAATTTCAGCAATTGCAATAAAAAAAATATAACAACTCATTTAATTGTTGTAGAGGATTTCAGCAATTGTTATGAATACAACAATTTACTTATTGTTCGTAGCAAATTCAAATAAAATTACAATCCAATATAGATTTTCCTTTTAAATTAGTCAAAATCCTTATATTTATTATTAAGTCTAAATACATAAAATCCATCCTGAAGTTGGCAGCAAAACTTGTTTTAGTACTTTAACTTTACGGGTAATTATTTGCCCCCCTAATCTTTTTGCAAGTGAATTAAATAACACCTTACATATACAATACCAGTTTCATATACATGGGTGAAGTGCAGGCGCTCCACCTAAGTGTCACATCGATGACATGTTAGATAATTATTATTTTTTTACTTTTCCAAATCTTTTTTAAAATATTATTTTTCACTCTTCACCCACCCTCTTCATTATTTAATTTGGGTCAATTTCTTAAGATCCAAAATTTCATATTGATTGATTCATTTTATTTTTCATTGCTTTGTAATTATTTACTATTACTCCCATCAATACTTATATCAGTCACCATATATTTTTTTCAACTAGATGAAACTATCAATTCATATCAACAATGGCGATTTTAAATTTATGCAAAATTGATAAGCTAATTTTTTAGATTTGATGTTGCTTTACTTATTTCACTTCTTAATACATATTCATGTATAGATTAAGTAAGGTTATAATTAGATGAATAATTATTTTGTCAAGGAAAATCAAATCTCAAAAGTAAAGGATAAAGAAAATTATGTAGATCGTAAATGTGATTTTCTATTTTTGTATATCCAAAAAATGTATAAAATCCATCACTATTCTTTTCATCTATCACTAAAGATTCATCCCGAGTCAAAAAACAATTTCTTATTTTCATTTTTTTTCCTCTTTCCGTTATAATAATGTAGTGCAGTTAAATAGAAATTTAGTTACATGCCATCGATATCATTTTGCTAAATCAAAAATATCCATAAAATTTCTATTATCAACAAACGCCTACTTAGTATTAGTATTAGTATTCATTGGAATCTCCATTTTATTATAACTTTTTGCTAGCTTTAAAAAAATATTTGAATCTGTTCTTATTTTGATTCTTAGTTGTGGATTTTTGTGTATTTGTTGTCTGCAATTTTTCTCTCAAGGAAAACCGATCTAGATATATCCATCTTGATGGTCTCATGTCACCTCACTTTATCCCTTTTGCTTTAATCAATTCCCTTGAGATCAATGACTTTGAGGAAATAAAAATTCTCACTTTTGTTAGGACATGTTTAAAATTTCAAATTTTCAATTTGATTTTGTTTGGAGTCTTAAAAAAAAAAAACTTTACTTCCGTTAGCTTGAGTTTTGATAAGAGGATTTGCCATGATAGCAAAAAATTATAATTCAAAAGTAATATAAAAATTTATATACAAAAACAATGCAATGAATCATCAACCGTTACAATCTCAAAATCCTAGCTATGAAAGAAAAGAATATTACCTTAAGGGGTAGATGACGACGATGACGAAAAAGATAAATTGAATTCGCAACTTGAGAGGAAGGCATTGAAAAGTCGTAGCAATAGAGTTGTTCGCAACAATGTACCCAAAATACACTGTTAACTTGAGAGAAAAGAAAGATAATGAGAATTGGGTTTATTCAAGTGTTTTAAAAATTTAAAAAATTTAAATATTGTATTTTAAATTCCAATTATCTTAATCTCTAATTAATTTTTTTTTTAACTCGGATCAGTAATTTGTCACCAATTTTAATTTCTAAACACTTTTTGTCAAAATCCCCTCAATTATCTCGATTCACTACACACAAAACATTACGGTAACAATGGCGACAGCCATGGACTGCAGAAACTGGGAAGAAGACATATACAGAGATTCCATTATACTCGAGAGAGAATCTCAATGTCGAACGGTCTTCCGGACTGCATTTGCCCCGAACCCGGACCATAATTCCTATCCGGACCTCATCGTCGCCGCCATTAGCGACGGCTCCATTGCGGCTTACTCTATCTCTTCTTGCCTTGTAAGCTCAATATTACAGTCTATAAAGTAGGAAAGAACGTTAATATAGGGGTTGCTCTACAAACTAATTGCTACTATTTAATTCCTTTTTCTTATTGATAGGGATTGAACTCAGCGGGCAAGTGAGTTTCTGTTGTCTCAATGTTTTCGAAGTGTTCTGGTCAGGTTTTATTTGGATTGATATTTTATTTGGTGATGTTGGTTTAGTTCATTGGTGCCAGTAGCTGAACCTAGTTGGCTGGTACAAGGACATGATGGACCTGCTTATGATGTTAAATTTTATGGTAACCATGAAGATTCACTATTATTGAGGTAGCTTTTCAGAATTTGCGTCTATCTTTCTGTACTGATAAAGCTGTAGGTAAATTTGCACAGATGGGAGATATTACAACTTTTTTCTTTTGTTTAGAATCAAAATTATGGGAAAATGTTACTTCAAGTATCTAAAATGCAGGTAAGAACTTTTAGCTTGACTAGAGCTCATATGCTATATTGCTTGGACTCTTCAAAAATGTCATTGGGTGCGTGACGAAGGATTCTCCAAAAGTAGTGTATTTTTGAATAATCTGACACAGTTGAGGCATCAAAAGTGAAGAGTCCGTGCAAGTTAGCTCATATGTTAGGGCAAGTAGAGAAAAGTTGTAAAACTGTTTCGTACGGAGGTTTTAGAGAGTTGTAGTTAATGATTGAGCTGTGAAACTATGTGAAGTAATTTTCTTTTCAATTAAGTAAGCAAGAGAGGCAATTATCTTGTGGTACTTATTACATAAAAGTAAATAAATCCTATTAATTTCACCGGTTAGTGTTATTTATTCTATCACATGTGCCAATTCTTTGTTAATATATGTAATTTCATGCAGTTGTGGTGATGATGGTCGGATTCGAGGATGGAAGTGGAAAGAAATGTTGGGATCTACGGAATCAGCACAAGGTAACATCTTTTTTGTGTGTGCAGTAATGTATCCTTGAGTAGTTTGAGATTGAGGTGTAGTTATATTGTTGTTGAATGACGGATTCTAACATCCTATTTATGAACATTTAAAAATGTTGAGCTCCTTTGCTTGGATTTGCTTCCAGTTCTAGCATCCAACACTTTTGCTGTATTGAAACTGATGCAGCTGAATGATTTGTTTGGCGGACAAACTTGTTATAATGTCCTCACATTATGAAAGTAAGTTCAGGAGGGGAAAGAACAGGGGATGCAATGTATATGTATTTGTGTCTTTCATCAGCTTAACAGATTAGAAGTTAAAAATGTCAATTCAGCAACTTCAGATTTTCAATCTGCCCCTCTTGTAGCAGTTCAGCTGATGTTTTTTTTTCTGATGAAGGTAACAACTTATATTAGATCACAAAAAGGGCTGTGAAGCAGTATTCACAGGAGTATTAGAAGGCAAAAGCTACTATTCTAGGAAGATATCTTCTAGCAAAAAGGAAAACTATAGAGACTCTAGGACTTGAAGTAGTGTTTCAGTGTCTTCTATGTATTCTTGTTTACATTAAAAATGAAATAGCAAAATAGAATTAAACTTTATCTTTTGGATTGGGTTTCTTTTGCATTCAAAATCAAAACATCTTTAATGTCTTTCCTTCTAAATATCCCTCCATATGCATCCTGGGATTATGCTCCATCTTCTTTTCTGAACTTTGGTGCTCCCTTTTCTTCTCCAGCTAGATAGCATCTCTACTGAACTCCCTGACATAGTCCTGCTCAAGCCTACATAACCCAAAACAAATCCCAGAGTTGGGTGGTTACTCTGCAGTGCAGGAACAAATGATTAGTTGTTTCTGCAGTTCTTCCATATAAAAGACAGATAGAACATAGCTGTAGTTGCATTCTTTGTTGCTTATCCTGTATCGAACAAGCCTTTTTACAATACAAAGCAGGGCACCTTATATGGAATCATAGTCTTTCTATCTGTGCTTCCAAGGCCAAAAGTCACTAATATTGTTGCCATAAATCAGCTAGTGGTTTGCTGTTTTGATTGAGAATTCACCTGAGTTGTGGGTTTTTCCACCATAATATGTCTCTGAGGAGGGTGGTTCCAGTATATTGAGCAAGTGTGTCATAGAATTCTGCAAATCTGCTAATCTCCTATAGCTAAAATTCCATGGGAATCAGTCGGGACACGGGGAGAGATGGAAGATTGTCCCAACCTGCATTTGGTGGACTATATGGATGGAAAGGAACCAGAGATGTTTCGAAAACAAGAGCCGCTCTCTGCAGAAACTGAAGATGAACTGTCTAGTCCTTTTTTTTTGGGTGTAACACAAATATCCTCAAGAAGAGGATATTCCTAGTATTTTAGAATTTATGAAGCTTAGTAGGGACACCTCTCCCTCTGTAATTTTGTTGCAAGTATACTGGAATACTTTTCTGAGTATTCCTTTTGTTCATAATACAAGTTACCTTCTTCAAAAAAAAATAAAATTTCCAGCCAAGATTACTCCATTCACCGATTTGGCTCTTTGCTACTGATTCAGGATCTAAACCTCCATTAAGAGAAATTTTAAGGATCCAATTCAAGCCAGTTTTTTTGAAAAACGGTAATGTTGTATTCCTCAGCATTAAGGACATGCTGGTGACCTCCAAAAATTCGTACATAGAGGGACTTGGAAGGCTAATTACAAAAAGCCTAACATATCCCTGCCACTGTAGGATGTCTTGTCCAGCCTACAAACCACTGAATTGGTCAATGGTGCTGAATAATTTTGCTACTCTTGGTATTTCCCAATCATTGAGGTGTATCCTGAACACAAATTTCCACCCTTAAGGTGTCCACAATTCTGCTATTGTGCTGTGTTGATGTAAAACTAAGTTATAAATATGTAGGAATAATGTCTCCATGTTGCCTGCTTCATGCCAATCATCCTTCCAGAAGACAATTTTAGCTCCATCTGCCACTTTGACTATGGTATTAACTTTGAATTCATTCCACGAAATTCTGATAGATTTCCATAAGCTAACACCATAAGGAGTAGTGATCCCTTTGTCATCCAATTTAGCTTAATGACTCTAGCTCAAAGACTTCGATTTTCATTTGAATATTTCCATAGCCATCTCATTCTTAAAGCTTTACTCTGATTCTTCAGATTTTTGATCCCCAATCCCCGAATCTTTTCTCATTGATCACTGCCTTCCATTTGACTAGGTGGTAACTCTTCTTGTCTTTGTTCCCTTGGCATAGAAATTTCCTCTTGATGCTATCCAACCTATTGATTATTCCTGTTGGGATAGGAAATCATGACATCATATATGTTGGAAGTGCATCAAGCACAAAGTTTATCAATATCAATCTTCCACCCATAAAGAGATATTGGGACTTCCACCTTGCTAACTTCTTCTCACATTTCTCAATCACCCCATTCTAGATTTCCATATACATAGATTTGCCCCCAAAGGCAATCCAAGGTAGATAGTTGGTATAGCACCCACATCACGCCCTAAGATTGTCTTTAAGATTTCCATGTTTGGCACTTCATTAACCAGGTATAGGAAGTTGTTCCTCCCGTTAACATGTAAACCTGACATTCCTTCAAATATTACCAAGATTAGTCTCAGCATTTTGAGATGCTCTTCTTCAACATCACAGAATATAAGTGTCATCTGCATAGGGAAGATGAGTTATCTTCAAGATATTTCGTCCAACTCTAGCAACCTCAAATCCTCTTAAGCAACCTTCCGTGTTTGCTGTCTTAATCATGTTGTTCACCTTGTCTTAGGCCCCTCTGTGAATTAAAATAACCTTCTGGTGAACCATTAATAAGTATAGAGAAGTTCACTGTTGAGATTCAAAATTTAATCCACTGATTCCATTTACATCAAAATCCCATCTTCTCTAGCAGGATCCATAAGCAAGCCCCAATTGACATGATCATATGCTTTCTCAATGTCTAATTTGCATAATATTCCAGGTTTCTTCAAGTTCACCCTGGCGTCTATTACTTCATTTGCTATGAGGGCAGCATCCATAATCTGCCTTCCTTTGATGAATGCCAATTGTTGTGAGCCCACAAGCTTAGCCATCACTCTTTTCAACCTTTCAGTAAGCACTTTGGATAATAGCTTGTAAATACTACATATCCGTCTGAAGGATCTGAAATCTCTTAATTCTTTAGCACTTTTCTTCTTTGGAATAAGAGCAACGAAGGTAGCACTGAAACTTCTTTCAAACCTTCCTTGCTCGTAGAAATTCTGGAAGGTCTTCATGATATTATTTTTACCACTTCCTAAAACTTGATGTAGAACCCCATTGTAAACCCATCTGCAGGTGCTTTATCAATTGCACATTGCTTTAGGCATTTCAGTACCTCCTCTTCAAATTCCCTTTCTAAATCTTCCATTTCCTCAACTGAGCCTTGGGCAATTTGTGAAGTTGCTGGCAGGTCCCCACCCGACATTCTCTGAGTACAAGTCTTGGAAAATTCCACTATTTCCCCTTGAATTCTTTCTTGATCATTGATTAGATTCCCTTGAACAAGAAGTTGGTCAATGTTGTTACATCTCTTGTGTGCATCATCCATCTTGCGAAAGAATTTGGTATTCTTATCTATTTCTTTCAACCACAGGGATCTAGATCTTTGTCTCCGTAAGATCTCTTCATTCTTGATTAGCTGCTCAAAGTTCATGATTAAGGATGCCTTCTCCATTGATTCCTCTGTTGTTAAGCCTCTGGCTATTGCAATGTACTCCAGAGTAGCCAACTTCTCTAGCAGATTCTTCCTTTGTTGACCTAGGTTTCCTTGCTCACTTCTACTCCATTCTTTCAGTTTATGTTCCAAGGCTTTTAATTTGGAAGCTAGAACATAATCAGGTCTCCCCTGGTAATCAAAAGAACTTCACCACACCTTCACTCTATCAATAAAACCTTCAGCGCCAAGCCGCCAATTCTCAAACTTGAAATAACTCTTGTTCTTCTTCTGGGAACCTCCTTGAATTGCAATCGAAGAATGATCTGACATTTTTTTTGGAGTGCAATTTGTTTCATATTATTGAAAGAGTCATCCCATTCTTGAGACACCAATATCCTGTCAAGTCTTGAGGCTATTTCCCAGTATCCCCTTTGAACCAAGTGAAATTAGCATTCTCAAGACGGAGATCAATCAAATTCAAGTCTTCAATCAGGTAAGAGAACTCCCTCATGCCCTGTGTTCTTCTAACACCCTTCCTTTTCTTCGAGACATATCTGGACACATTGAAGTCTCCACAAATTGCCCAGGGACCTTCTATTTATCCTTTGATTGAGCCAATCTCCTCCCATACTAATCTTCTTTCCACATAACAGTTAGGAGCATACACCTCTGTTATATGGCAAGTGAAATCTGGCAATTTTACAAGAGTGTATGCACCTATCTCTAGTATTTCACCTTTCCAAATTCTACTATCCCATAGCATCATTATCCCTCGTCTAGTTCCACTTGCCTCCAAACATGCCATTTTAATCCATCTACCCCCCATTTTAACCCACATTTTTTATTACTGCCTTCTATGACGGGGAAATTGTGGACAATTTGATGATTTCTGCAATCAATACAAAAGCTAAGGTGAAATTGAAGGAAATGAAATACCTTTTACGTAGAAATTTCTATATTACTGCCTTTCCTTGGATCTCCTTTCATGCTTCTCCTTAAGTTCTCCACATAATGTCTCATAATTTATGTTTTATAGCTCTATTTTAGATATTTTAATTATTTTTTAGGCGAATCCTTGCACCCGTATCCATATATGGTTAAAAATTAGACCATGAAGGATCCGACCTTTAGATGCACATTTGTATCAGACACCCACACCCGAGTCCGAGCATCTTAGGGGAAGAACAAATTTCCCCAACCCCAGCGGTATAGGACTCAACTACCCTCGTATGCCTAGTACTGGAGTTGTGAAGCTTGGTCAATACAATAGGGGGCCCAACATTAGATGAAATAATGAATTAGGTTGGCCATGGTTCTGATATCACGAAAAAGAAATGAACCTTAGACCTAACTCAACACCAAAAGCTAGATCGTGAAGGGAGGATTGGCCAAGACCAAATTTCCTAAGCCCACCAATGTAGGACTCAACAAAAGCAAAGAAAATTTGGATTCTAATATTGTGGAGTTGTTTCTTCTGCAATTCACAGAGGCTTTTCCACCAATTTCTCACTTTGATTCACCACTATCATCTCCTGCAAAGTGTTCTGTTCTATCTCTTGCATGACTGGAAGAGAGATGTGGGATTCCATGTCTTCAAGAAGTCTTTCTCTATTGAAAAGTAACAAAGCTTGCCTGATAAGACCCATTTTCCACTTCCACTTCAATTAAATACCCTTCCTACGGCCTCTATGAGCCCAATTCTGAGCTCTTCATTAAAGAAGGCATGTGACTCACATGACTTTTTTACACTCAAAAATCTCTTTTGTGTTTTTCAAAAAATTATTCTTTTCTTTTATTTTTCATATTTGTTCTCTCTTTCTTTTTAGTGTTGCTTTGTGGGATGTAAAGAGGGAGAGGAAGAACGAGAGAAAAAATATGAAATATGGGTGTTAGTGTCCATTTTTTTTTACGACAAGGAAAACCCGCAGCCACTAATCTTTTGGGTGCGCACAGGGTAAAATTTCGCTCCTATGCAATAGCTCGCAAACCACATAGGAGAGGTAACCCGCACTAGTTTTGATGATTTCTGTAATCAATACAAAAGCTAAGGTGAAATTGAAGGAAATGAAATACCTTTTATGTAGAAATTTCTATATTACTGCCTTTCCTTGGATCTCCTTCCATGATTCTCCTCAAGTTCTCCACATAATTTCTCAAAATTTAGGTTTTATAGCTCTATTTTTAGATATTCTAATTATTTTTAGGCGAATCGCTGCACCCGTATACATACATGGATCCATATCCCTGGATCTTAAAAATTAGACCATGAAGGATCTGATCTTTAGATCCACACCTGTATCGGACACCCACACCCGAGTCCGAGCATCTTAGAGGAAGACCAAATTTCCCAACCCCAGCGGTATGGGACTCAACCACCCTCGTATGCCTAGGACTGGAAATTTGAAGCTTGGTTAATACAAGATAGGGGGCCCAACATCAGATGAAATAATGAATTAGGTTGGCCATGGATCTGATATCACGATAAAGAAATGAACCTTAGACCTAACTCAACACCAAAAGCTAGCTCATGAAGGGAGGATTGCACAAGACCAAATTTCCTAAGCCCACCAATGTAGGACTCAACAAAAGCAAAGAAAATTTGGATTCTAATATTGTGTCCCTATTGCATCATAGATCTACCAGTGCAAGAAATATTATTAATCTTGGATGAAAGAGAAGTGAGGGAATGCACTTTCTGCTGCACCTAATGAACTGGCAAAATATTTGTCTTGAAATTTTCTTGCCTAATTCTGTAAGAAGCCTCTTTCTTGCTTCCCACATTATATTTTGTTGTCTGTCCTCTTAGATACTAGTTTAGCAGCCATAAACCAAATTACCTTTTGAACATCAACATCCTTTTTCTGTTTGGGCAGAAAAATTCTGCAAGTCAAAGCATCAGCTGAATGCCGATAGGCCGTCTGGTTTTCACTGTGATGTTGATGCAACTTGAAACTATTTTGTTACTGCTTTTTGGCTGAGAGTTGAATTCTCTGCTTACTTTTCTTTTTTTACTATTCAGGAGGCGTATCAAAGCCGGTACTTGACTTGGTAAATCCTCAGAAGAAGTAAGTTATCAAGAAACATAAAATAATTTCAGATTTCTTCAAATATCTAAGTTATCAAGAAACATAAAATAATTTCAGATTTTTTCAAATATCCCATGTTGTAGGGGCTTCAAAGAAAGCTTGTGGTTAGGGTGGAAATTTACTATTTTCTCACACAGTTTGCATTACTCTTGTGTGTTGATATTGCATCCTTAGAAATTGGCGTGCAACAAAAGATGTCCTGCTCAGTATTTAAACATTTTGTCTTTTCAGTTTCCTGCTTACTGATGGCTATTGAAATTTTTCTCTCATACATAATGTTAGTAGCTTTTACTGCTTACCTGAAATCAGGGGGTTTGGGTGTTGGGGGAGGGGGGACGCTGAACAAATATATTATGCAATTAAAGTTTTTGATTGTTTTTAATTTAAAGAACTTCTTGGATTGGTGTGTAGATGAAATGTTGTCTTTGACATTTGTCTTCTAGATCTGAAAATTAGTGGTTACTGCTTATGATGGTTCTATTATTTCATCCTCCTCTACTTTATACTATTATTGCCTCATTTGTGTTCCAACCACGTTCTCATATCTCAGAGGTCCATGGGGGGCGCTTTCTCCAATACCTGAAAATAATTGCGTGGCTGTTAATACTCAGGTACCTCTATATCTTTTTCTAAACCAGCCGAGCGGCTTCTTGATTGATGCTATAGGGTGAGAGTATTGAACTATAGGAAAGTCTGATTTCTGGTTATGCGTTGGCTGCTAGGAGGTAGATGTGAATAGTGACTTAGTTATCTTCTAATGTTCGATGCTTCTTAAATCTGAGAGGTGAAACCAGCTGTATCACTACAGATGCTCTTCGTTGTGAAGGAATATCTTGGGTTCTTCACTAGATTATGATGATTCTTCTGAAACTTATCTGCTGTGCAGCAGTGAGGGAATAGTTTGTTTTATTTCATTTTTTACGAAGAAGAGAGCAGAGCATGGTAGTGGGGGAAGCTTTCATTTCAAATCAGACAATTTACTGAAGTGCTAAATATTGGATGAACTACAAAAGAACTTCAATGTAGTGGACACTTTGTACTATACTCTTATTCATCTGTTTCTTTGATGCTCTGTGTGTATTTGGGGGGTGGTGGGCGGGGCGTAGGGAAGAGGGGGTTTACAATCTTATTTAGTACATCATCAACCTACTCCATTTGGAGTTGAGAATTGTGCATTTGATATCATAATACCTAATTTGGAGAAGGCTTCTGCAACAACCCTATGAGGTGGTAGTCATTTAAGTATTCATGCTGAGTGGACTTTGGGGTCTGGATGCCATAGTTGGAGCTGTTAGTTCAAAGCATGTGACTTAGCTAACTTTGTTTATACTTCTGCGTTTACCATTTATATCTCATGGATTCCTCTCTTGCTTCTCTCAAATCCAGTTTCCTACCTCCACATTGTCCTGTCTACATATGCTTATTTCATTTTTTGTGTTCTATTGTAGACCGGATCCATATTTGCTGCTTCTGGTGATTCTTGTGCATATTGCTGGGATGTGGTATGTATATGTGCATTGTGCATGGTTGATTATGATATTATAGTATTTCTTAATTACTTCTTTCTTTTCGTTTCCACTAGCGACTAGTCCCTACGTAATTCTTTGCTTCTTAAAAGGAGTTTTTTTCTTTTTCCAAATAGAAGAAAAAAGAAATCTTCTAACTAAGACTTTTTTGACGATAATGTGATTTAAATTATGGTGCTCAGGAGACGAATGAAATAAAGATGGTTCTTAAAGGACATTCGGACTACTTGCACTGCATTGTTGCGCGAAATTCTCACAATCAGGTAAAAATTTATGTTTGTCTCTCATGCATACACTCTCTCTCTGTGGCTGGTCTTACCCATTTCCATTTTATGCACTTGTGAAGTACAATAGCACCCTTTTGTTTTTTAAATATAGTATTTCTTGAAACTTCAATTGTACCTTGAATTTGGCCCACTTTTGCTTCTTTTTTTCTCTCTCTCACTCCCTCGGCAATTTTCAGGTCATAACTGGTTCAGAGGATGGGACAGCACGGATATGGGGTATATCTTTCATATTCCTTCTAATAATACGAGCAGTAGTTATTCTTGCTCCAAAAAAAAATAAATAGGAGCTGTAGTTATAATTTTTTTTTTGGAACACAAGGCCAGCCCTGATGAATTTGCCAATTTTGCCTTCAATTGATTGCTTTGGGCTCTTCCTTACTTTGGGAGTAACACATGATTTTCTCATTTTTGATCTATCTTTATGTGTTGATTATTGATTGCCATTTTATGAAATTGTCTTAGATTGCAGAACTGGTAAATGTATTCAAATAATTGATCCCCAGAAGGATAAGAAGTTAAAGGAGTTGTATCCGTATGTCAGTTGCATAGCTCTTGATGCAAGCGAGAGTTGGCTGGTAAGAGTTCAGATGCCATTACCAAACTAACTTTCTTTGTCCATTTGCTACTGTATGAACTATAATAATTGTTGTTTGGTTAGAGCTGTCATACTGCAATTACTTTTGTTGCAATGTTCAGTGGCGTTTGACCATGTAAACAAAATATTTTTCACTTTATTTGGAAAATTCACATCTCAAAATACCCCATAGACTGGCACCCACTAACACCACCTGTCGGGCAAACCAATCATCCATTCACTTACCCAATCATATAAGCAGTGAGAGCAATAAATGGAGAATAATAATCAATAAATGGAGAATAATAATCCAACAAAATCCATAGTCAATATAGTAATTCAAAGATCACTCGCACTAATTCTCTAGCCTTAATCAAACAATATGACTATGGAACATTTAATAGAATGACATGCGTTTAACTGTTGGACATGCAAACTGATAGAAACTGCGGTTTTATACTGAATAAAAACAACAGAAAATACAAAAAGAGACACAAGTATCTCGTATCTCGAAGAACAATAGAAAATACAAAGAGAGACAAGTATCTCGTATCTCTTAGAACAACCTTTTCTGCATTTAAAAGATATATGGCCATCTGTTTGCTTATTTTCTAGATATTCTATTATGCAATATATAAAAAATAACCACTTTATAACTATTTAGGATAAAGATAACTCCTAATAACAGTGAGAAACTGCCTTAACTCATAGCAGTAAGAAACTGTCATAACTCCTAATAACAGTATGAAACTACTCATTGCTCCATGGGTGAAACCTCCAGTAATTTGAGAAGATGCAAATCAGTATCTTCTCCTATCTTTCTTCGCTTCTTCCTCCTTGAATAAGTATGGAAGATACGTGCCTTATCAGTACACCCCTCCTCGAAAGACGACTTGTCCTCAAGGCGAAAATCTGAAAACTTTGCAGCTAACAAAGATTTTTGGCCATATGGCTGAAGATGTAAAACAGAAGCATCACCAACATTAGAAGAGAGGTCTATGTGCTTATAATCTAAGTTGCTCGGTCTCGGGTGCGGGTATACGAGACAGATGCAACTCCGAGAGTCGGATTCGACAAAATTTAAATTTTTAGATTCGGGGGTGCGAATCCGAGTATGGGTACGGGTGCGGGGATTCGGCTAAAATTATTCAATATTATAAAATATAGTTATAATAATAATAATATTAAATATCTTGTAAAACTCTATACTTAAAACATATCAATTATAAATGTGCAAATTTAAAAGCATAAATTAATTATGACTAGTTATTGCAGTAATTGATTTTTAAAAAATTATAATTTCTTTTATTTATTATAAAAAAAAGAAATTATGGTGTTGCCCTTTCTTCTCCCAAGAAAGCCCTCTCTTCTCCCAAAAAAACCTTTAGCCTTCTGTGTTCCTTTTCAAGAAAAAAAAGTTTTCTCTCTCTTCTGTTTCAAGAAGAAGACATTTAATTTATTCTTCTCTCCCATGGAGCCTTCACCTCCTCTCTATTATTGTACAAGATTTCTTTTCTATGGAGCATCAGACCTTGTGACAACTTCGTTGTAGAAAAGTCGTCTAACTTTCGCTCGCCTTGAAATTAGTATTTTCTTGCTCATTTTTTCGGCTCTAGTCAAAGGATCCGAATCGGATTGACCGAATCCGACCCACACCCCGCACCTGCACTAGTCTCGCGTCGAGACGGGTTCGGCTCTAAAATTGAAGAGTCTGCGCAACATAGCTTATAATCTGCCTTCATAAGGCTTAACATTGCATCTCTAGGCAACATCTGTTCTTCAACATCTGATTGGAAAGATGTTAGTGTGATTGTTTTATGAGGAACACCTTGCAGTTTGTAAGTTGTCATGCCCCGAGCTACTCCCAAGACACGGACACAGAACCTAAGACCACAAGTGATCCCAAGCTAACCCTGCTGGCATGATCATGAGCATACTAAAGAATAATAAACTGATGCGGAAGCTAAATCTTAATTTAGTCTGAAAAGATGGGGAATACCCATATTCTACAGCTGAGAAATTTGAAAACAATGAGTTTAATACAAAAGAAATATTAACTCAATACTAAGTTGAATCTAAATATGTCTGAAAATAGCCTCTAAACTGGACTAGAAATACTGGGACAAGCCCCAGCTAAATCTAGCAAAAACTGAAACTAAATGACTAAAGACTAAAATGAAGCTCATGACTGTTGTCCTCGGAGAATGAGAACTCACCACTGAATCTGCGGAATTGGAGATCGGGAAATCGATTTATGTGTGATCTGGATGCTGAGAACTTGAACCTACATCACGAGAAAATGTAGTGCACGTATGCGTTAGTACTTGAAATGTACTAAGCATGTAGAATAGAGTAAAGTTGAAATAAATCATAACTGAACAAGCAAAATAGCAAGTATAATAATTTGACATGATAAACTGAAATCTAAGCTAACTGGATGCAATGACCAATTTATAACATGCTAAAACTGAATACTGAATATACTGATAAATGGTCAATGCAGAGAGTTTGACTGATCTGTGGGAGCTACTAATAACCGATAATAAAACCACATGAGCTATATGTGGAGTTCAATGCATACGCCCCATCGAGAGGAACCAATATACCTTGCCAAAGGTATAAATGCATGCTGGCGTGATCACTAAACTGATTGCCCACAGAGGGGACTTACAACCTGCTTGGCTTGTAGTTTTGGGACTAATTGGGTATGCTGAATCCTAGTTCAACTCGGTATTATGCTACTCCCAATGAATTCTGTAAATCAATTGATTATGTCCGAGTTTCTGTAAATACTGGATAGGTCGAAACTGAACATGCAAACTGAAAATGCACCAATTAATCTGGTAATTATGCATTTATAACTGAGGCATGTATATCTGAAATGTCTGAAATATCTGACGTAGCATGTGTAATTCAAGAACTAAAGCAATACATAGCTAGGGTTTGAAATTCATGCGATAATTTGAGTAATAACATGATAATCTGATTTGAAACATATATTTAACTAAATCATGAAGCTCTATCAAAGTTCTAGAAACTCTAGGTTTAATCATGATAAGAGAATCAAGAATTTGACTGAAAACTAGGGACCCATTGTGTGAAAGGAACCCACTAGTGAAATCCCACATACCTGGTGATGAAATTCACGGAAAAATACTTAAGGTTTTGGGGCTGGAACTGCTGGAACTTGTGGCGTTCTTGAACTAGGGTTCTTGAGCTTTTTCTCCTCTCTTGCTTCTAATTTTCTAAGTTTTGATTTAATGATTTGACTTAGATATGTTTTCAATTATGTTTCTAGGATTAAACTGACTAAAATATGATGATTTAGGGCGAAAACAATGTTATTTGGGGTTTAAACAGAGTGGGAAGTCCAAAAGACCCCTGGGAAAGTTGCTGTCGAACTAAACGACGGCTAGGACTGACGGTTCGTCGTCTGACCGACGCCCCGTCGTTGGGTCCGTCGATTAGGCCTGTTTGACAGACCTTTACTAAAATGGGCATAACTTTTTACTCGAAGGTTTGATTTTAGCAAGGTCGGTAGCTATGGAAAGCTAATTCAATTATTTATATGTGGGTAGGTAATGTGACACCTAATTCATTTTGCGCTAAGAGTTATGACCATTTGAAGTTGACCCAACTGCATTTCCCCTTAACTGTCTGCAAATTTTCCACCTACGGTTAGACCTACGGACCGTAGGTCCACCTATGGTCCGTGCTGGTCATCTGTAGCTCTTGTCAGAGAGTGGGTGAATGGGAGTCTCGATCGACGGTCACGCACTATGGACCGTCATCTGACCTACGGGCTGTTGGTTCGTCCGTCGATCAAGACTTTAGCCAATTTTTCCCGACTGAATTTTTGGGAGTTTCTGATCCCATCGACGGTTGTGTAGGACAGACCGTCGTCTGTTTTAAGCCTCGCTTCAGGTCTAAGCGTGCCTTTGATAACACTGGTTATGTCTGATGAAATAGCGACCTGGGTAGGGATGTGTGAACTGCTTGTTGTTTTTACATAGAGCATAACTTGTAGTATTTGGCCTTGTGAAACTAAGTTCATGTTGAGATAACATGGTAATGAAACAGCTATATGCATTAGACGTAGAGCCTCGAGCCAAGTACTGTGTTGCTTGATTGCTAATGGACATCTGATGTATTTGTAACTGTTGTCATGCCCCCATTCGCATGGGACGAACAAGGGTCCATATGAGTACCTGCTATACAAATGGCTTGTGCTAATCAGATGACCCATTATACATAAAGAGTTTAGACAATAGATAGATGCTATACATAAGGCGTGTTGGCCAATTGGCCACACTAATATAGTCGGCAACTGAAACTATAATTACTCATGAGCCATGACAACTTTAAATGCTATAATTACTCATGAGCCATGACAACTTTAAATGGTCTACGAAGCCTCTAATGGAATTTATAACCATATAATGACAGATCACCGGGACAGGGCCCTACATACCTAAACTGTGACTATAAGTGTGACTTAATGGTATTAGATATCTCTTGGCTCCAGATAAGAAATGGAGCTTACCAATTGCTTCGCAATATGCAATAACATACCTAAACTTCTTGTTGATTCATGTTTTGCATCAGACCATGCAATCTGTGTTTAAAGTTGTTTCTTTTTGTCATTTTCTTTTTCTTGATTCATTGTTGCTTCACAACTTTGAGGTTTAAATCAAAGAGATGAATATGCTCATCGACTTTTCATGCGTAAAAGTAACTTTCCTGTATCAAGTATATTTCTTATTGCCACTTTGTTTGACTTCACAGGCTTGTGGAAGTGGCCAGTCTTTATCTGTTTGGAATCTTCCTGCGTGTGAATGTGTTTCAGGTATCACGACAAGTGCTGCTACCCAGGATGTCTCATTTGATGATAATCAAGTGAGTTCTTTGACTTGCATCAAATTCCAAGTAGTTTTGATGTTACCTGTGTCGTTCAAAGGGAATTACAATTATCCTTCTTTAAATCCCCTTTTCTGATGGGTCCACTAATAAACTATGTTGGTTGGCTGCAAGCAGCACTATAGGTCTTGTTAGATCAAATACAAAGTTGTCTAATCATCTCATCTAAAAGCTTGAGTGGTTAGAGAAAACATACTTTTATTTACTAGGATGAGGTGAGGGTGTTCACCCGAACCCCCTCGGCAAAAAATTATGTTGTGTATATATAATGTACTTCTAAAATTGTGTATTTATACAAATTAGAATCTCCTGAACAAAAAGGTAGAGGTTGACTTGGTGGTTTAGGGGTTCAAAATTCACCTTGAGGTTCCAAGCTCAAATCCTAGGTAATACACTTTCATTTTTTGAACCCACTCGGTGAAAATCTTGTCACTTATCTCCCAAACGTCTACTTAAGTGTGCACTTAATTCTTTTTCATGAGCTAAAACGTGGATACTTTTTTTAAATAATTGCCGACTATGAGTCTCAAACCCTGGAGCTCTACTATGATATCATGATAAGAAAATGAACTTCGAATCTAACTCTAACTCACACCTGAAAACTAGCTCATGAGGTGGGGAGATTGCCCATGATCAAAGAAGGAGATCAAATTCCCATTCCACAACTGATGTAGGACAAACTCAACACCCTTGCACACCCACCCATTAGAGCGTGAACAATATGCTATTAGAGCCAAACATCGGGTACATCACAAATTGGGATGAGCCTCATGAGCTAAAAGTTTATTTCCAATAGCATGAACAATAACTCTAATACTAGGTTGTGTGACCATCTCATCTAAAAATTTGAGTTGTTAGAAAGATCATATTTTTATTTACTTAATTTATATCTCGAGGTTGTCAATTTTATTCCTTTTTAAAATTTTCACTCTTCAAGGAGAAATTCTTCTCCGTCTGCTCTGGTCGGAGTTTTCAATAGATATGGGGGAAGATAGGTTTTTATAGTGCAGGGTTTAAATCCTATGACATTATCAGGATTTAGGAGATATTTAGATTCAGAAGTATGGTTCGACTGGATTGAGCGCAACAAATAATTAATGAGACAAGTTACTATTAGCAGTAATGTCATGACTCATGAAGTGGTTGGTGTTCGTCTTCAACGTAGCTATAAAAGAAAAGAGGAAGACCATAAAGAGATAGAACATGAAGACCACTGTACTCTGAAATATTATGGAACTAGTAGGTACATAAGCTTCACAACTATTCGAGGGGGATGTAATCTATCATTATTACATTAGAGGGTCCTCTTAAAGTGGGTTGGGCAAATATTGCCAAAAATTTACTAATTTTATCAATGATACAAACCCAGTGAAGAACCCTTTTCCTAGCAAAAATAGACAAATAGAAATGTCCTACAAGGAGGCTTTCAAAAACAGTAGATGGATGACGGAGGAGACTAAAACAAACATAACATTAAGTAACAACAAAATATCTATTTTTGGGGGTTCTACAAGTACATAATCAAATCTGTTGAGTCGATGCGTAGTTGGAAAATTCCAGTTGCTGCCAAAAGAGACTCCAACTTTGAGTGATGTGAGAATATGGGCATGTTACTCATGGAAGTCAACTTTTGGAGTTAATGTCTTCAGCATGAATGACTCTCAGTATCTCTTTGAATTCCCACAAGGGAAGCCGCAGAACATGGCATGACATGAGAATGGACTTGGTCAAAGAAAAAGCTGAATCTCCAATGGTGGAATCCTACCGTAAGATGTTAGTAGAGGAGATCAACAGGGATTAGGTCTGGGTCAGATTGCTGGGTTACCATTGAATTTCTGGTTATTTGAAGAGATAGGTAACTTCTGTGGTGGATTCATTGAAATAGAGGAGGAGACAACTTTGAGAAATCATCTTCACAAGGTTCGAATCAAAGTGAAGGGGAGGGGATGGAAATGAGCTTCCTAAAAAGATTGAAGTGGAAATTGAATGTCTCATCTATACAATTCCAGTGTGAGTGGAAGTTCCGGTCACTATGAAATCAGAAGGAAGAAGAAGTGGGGGAAGCGTCTGAATTATGCACAGGATAATAGTACAATGCCAACTTTTTTTGATAGAGACATGAACGCTGACACCTTGGTGAAGTTGACAGGGCATGTGGGCACATCAGTCCGATGGGGAAAGTTCAGGTCAAAGACACATGGGGTACCAAGTAACATAGAGGGGCCTTTTAAAGACAATTTTGGACCTTTAACTCAACCGCTGAACTTGGGCCCAATTTTAAGGCCAACAAAAGCAGACCCAAACAATTCAGACATTTCCCAATTTCTCTGACATTGAAGCCCAAACTATAGAACCATTTACAATGGAAATCCAAGCAACCACACTTAGAGAAAGATGAAAAATATCGCACATTCAGTCATCTACAATAACTCAAGCCATGAAAAATACAGTGACGTACTAGGCTGAGGAAGAACACAAAGATTCAAGAAGATCAGTTCAACATTTGTATGACTAATACAACAGTGCCAGGAAATAAATCAACGGAAATTGTGCATTTAAAGGGAAGCTTTCACCGGAAGAAGCTGGGCTAGTAGACAAAGAGGAATCTAAGGCCTTGTCCGAAGGAACCGGATGAAGCAGCAATTGCATCAAAGAAGATGTAATTCCTTTGAATCGGAGGCTGTTTAAGACACCAAAAACATCAGAATGGATTCAACAACACTCATCAAACTAAGCACAAATTGGGTGTAGACCTTAAACGGTGTGATGAGAAGGCCAAAGAATTATTTATGAAGATAAACAACAACAATCGGATGAACAAGGGGGAACAAGCCATCGTGACAAAGAAGGGGGTGAATGAACTGAATTAGAACTTGATGCCAAATTCTGTAGTTATGGCTCAAGAAGTAGGGGGAATACCTGGCAATAAAAGATCAATGCAATTGAAAAGAGTGCCTTGGAATGTTAGGGGGCTATATATTGAAATGGGGTGATTGAGAAATGTAAGAAGTGGTGGAAGATTGACCTTGATGAATCCTTTGCTTGATGCACTTCCAATGTATAGCATCAGGAGGAAATTTCTATGGCAAGGGAACAAAGACAAGAAGGGTTACCACCTATTCAAATGAAGGGCAATGATCAATGAGATAAGATTTGGGGATTAGGGGATCAAAAATCTAAAGAATCAGAGTAAAACTTTAAAAATGAGATGGCTATGGAAATATTCAAATGAAAATCGAAGTCTATGGGTTAGAGTCATTAAAGCTAAATATGATGAGAATGATAATTGGATGACAAAGGAGGTCACTACTCCTTACAGTGTTAGCTTGTGGAAATCTGTCAGAATTTTGTGGAATGAATTCAAAGTTAACACCATAATCAAAGTGGCAGATGGAGTTAAAATTGTCTTCTGGAGGGATGATTGGCATGAAGCAGGCAACATGGAGACATTATCATCGATATTTATAACTTAGTTTTACCTCAATAGAGCACAATACCAGAACTATGGACACCTTAAGGGTCGAATTTTGTGTTTAGGAGACACCTCAATGATTGGGAAATATCAAGAGTAACAAAATTTTTCAGCACCATTGACCAATTTAGTGGTTTGAAGGCTGGATAAGACATCCTACAGTGGTAGGGAAATAGTAACGAGAGTTTTAAAGTAAATGCAGCCTACACAAAGATGAACCAACCAAACCAGCTGATACTTCGATGGCCTAGGAAACACATTTTGAAAGCCAATATCACATACAAGGTAGCTTGCTTTGCCTATTTATTGGCTAAGGAAGTAGTGCTGACACAAGATAACTTGATGAAAAAGGGGATCTCTTTATTTTCGAGATGTTTTCTTTGTGGGGAAAGTACAAAAACAGTGGTTCATCTCTTTATACATTGCAAGGTCACAAGTCAACTTTGGAGATTATTCCTATGTCTCAAAACATATCTTGGTCCATGCCAGGAAAAATCACAGAAGCATTACACTGTTGGGAAGAAGCAGGAGTTCACGCTAAAAACAGAAACAACTGGAGAATTGTACCTGCAGCTATAAGGTGGACAATATGGAAGAAGAGGAACCTTAGAGTCTGAGAATATGGAGAACGGAAAATTGGTGGATGAGAGTGGAAGGATTCAAGGACGAGGTGATATTATGGTGGCAATCTTTTGTAATAACTGGAACTCCAGGTTTTGTTTTGGCAGAAAAGCTGAAACTTTTGAAAGCAAAGATGAAGGAATGGAGTAAGAATAATAGAAATAATTGTAAAGCACAAAGGAGGAGATTATGGAGGAGCTAGCCAAATGGGAAGTTGTACAAGAACAAAGAGTGCTCATAGAGGAGATCCAACAAAAAAACAAATGTGGCTATCACTTATGAGTAAGTAGCTAAGAATGAAGAAATAAGATGGAGGCAAAGATCAAGAATCCAGTGGCTAAAGTAGGGGGATAAAAATACTAAGTTTTTTCATAGAGTAGCTATTTCTCATGAGAGGTATAATTCCATTTAGTCTCTATTGGTGGATGGATGCAATACTAATGACCCCTCTGTCATTAAAGAGACCATCAAAAGCTTCTACCAAAATTTGTACACAAAACTAGAGGGGTGGTGGAGTGGAGGCCTGAGCTACAATTACAAGGGATCACAACTATTAGTGTGGAGGAGCAGATAGAACTAGAGGGTCCTTTTGAGGAGGAAGAGATCGTAGGTTGCTTAAAGCTTTGTGCTATGGAGAAGCACTTGGACCTGATGGTTTCCCATGTCCTTTTACTTGTCTTTCTGGGAGATCCTAAAAGAGAATATTATAGAGGCTATACAAGAATTTCATGCTAGACAGATTATAGAGAAGAGTTTTAATGCTACTTTTGTAGCACTCATCCCCAAGAAAGCCAATCTTGTTGAACTTAAAGACTTCAGACCAAAAAGGCTGAAAAGAGTGATTAATAAGCTTGTCAACAAAAACCAAATGACATTTATGAAAGGA